TGTTAACATACAAAATCAATCATTCTTCTATATACCAGCAATGAAAAAGTATAATTCGAAAAACAACCCCTCCACAACTCAATAATAGAACGAATAAACCAATTTAAAAATGAGCAAAGGACCTGAAAACATGTTCAACATCATGAGTCATCAAGGAAACTGAAATCCAAACTGCAGTGAGATACTACTTCACACACACCCATGACTGGGTGGCTAGAACCAAAATGTAAGGTTAAGTGTAGGCAAGGATATGGAGATATCAGAACCCTCATACATAACTACTGATGGGAATATAAAACAGTTAAGCTAGTTTAAAAACAGTCTGGCAGTTCCTCAAATAATTCAGCATCTAATGATTGTATGTCTCAGCAATTCCTCTCTTATGTATACACCCAAGATAACTGGGAGAGAAAAAAAAAGTTCACACAAAATCTTACACATAAGTGTATACGGTAACATCATCCCTAACAGCCAAAAGGAGGAAACAACCCAAACGTCCATCAGTGCATGAATGAATAAACAAAATGCGGTATACAATGGAATACTCTTCATCCAAAAAAAGGAATGAAGTATTGATATGTGCTACAACATAGATGAATCTTAAAAAATTGCTAAATCAAAGAAGCTTGTCAGAAAAGACCACACAGTATGTTTCCACTCATGTATATGATAGACCTATTTAGGTAAATGTATAGACAGAAAGTGGATTAGTAGTTGCTTAGTGCTGTGGGGGTAGGAGGTAATGAAATTATAGCTAAAGGGTCTTGGTTTTTCTCTTAGAGGTGATGAAAAGGTTCTAAAACTATGGTGACAGTTTGCACAACTCTGAATTTACTGAAAACCACTGAACTGTGTACTTTACATGGATGAGTCATATGACATGTGATATGACTTGTATCTCAATAAAACTATTCTTAGAAAAAGAACCTTAACAATTGCTCAAATGCAACCAGTGTTATCCACTGGACAATGCTTAATCATGGAAATTCACAATTAATCATGGAAGTAATGATGGAATGAAATGCTCTTCCTTGGCTCCTGATTTCTATGAATCAATGCTTTGACTATGATGATAGTTTCTGCTTTAAAATTTTCCAACCAAACTTACCCAAGCTATAACAATAACTTAAACTCTGATCTTGTTTTCATTTTAAATATTCTTGCGCTGGAGAGTATCTATAACACTAACACTAATGTGGAAGTCTTATATACTCTACTTTCTATTCAGAATGAGTTGTCTCAATTTTCATAAAAAATTAGCTGATCTTAAGAATTTATGGACTCGCCCATTCCCAACTTTATAAGAAATCCAGGTAAGAAATTTTACATTTATTAAAATGGATAGAGTTCATCTATCCCTCAAAACACCCTACTTTTAATACCTGGGTCGACAGACTCCTAGAAAATTAGTATTTAGATCACTCTGTTGTCCCTTTACAGAACTGTTTTTTCACTGAGCTGTTCTCTGGCATCATGCACTTTGCTTAACTGAAGTTTACCAATAAACAGTTAACATTAAATTAGGTATGTACTTATAGCATCAATACATTAGTATACATATGTACTACATAACTAGCATATATATTACTATACATTACATACTGACACTAAAGACAATGTCCATCATTCACTGTTCAGACCAAATTGCCAAGTATTATTTTCTTTGAAGAATTGGTTATTTCTTTTCCTTATGATCAAAACACAGCTGGCTCTGATTCCCTGTGATCTTTCTGACACCCAAACAAGAGTCCAAGTTTATTTAAAACACTGCAAGGCTTATGAATGCCTACCAATGGTACAAAACCAACCCACTCCCAATGGATGGTTCATCTGTATTTTTCCAGATTCCCATTTTAGGGCTATTTTCAATTTCCTGTCTGTTTATATATGTATGTATGTATGTGTGTATACATATATATAGCTTGGAAGCTACCCTTGTATTAGATAAGCAAAAAAAAAAGGTTGATGACCATTTGTTATTTTAATTATTGAGAAAACATAATATGCAAATTATGCAATGGTACTGAGTTTTTTAATAGCTGATCTACAAACTAGAAAAAATGTAATAAACTGAAAAAAAAGGACCCTGAACCTCATAAAGTCTTCTATTTTATTATTTTACATTAAAAATACATAATGTATTATTTTACATTAATCTGTCACCAAAGCAAAAAGAAAGTGCAGTGGGATTAGTGGATGTTTCAATTAAGTTACAGAAATATATGTAAAAGCTATATAAACAATTACATATTCATAGAATATTCCCAAATTTTTACTTGTGACAATATCGATTATAGGAGTTAAATCTTCTTTTAAAAAATATCTAAAATTCTACTTACTGTTACCAAAGAGATAAGACGATAGTAGTTTTCAACAATTCAAATTGTAACAAAAATTAAAAGATGAAGTAACAGAAATATCAGCAAGATTACTAACAGAGGCAGCCTAGCTTACAAATGGCTGAAAACCAAAAGGTATTTAGAAAAATAATTGTTTAGAACTCAGACATTTTCCCAAAATAACAATGCTATACAGAAGTTTTAGATTCTTAAACTCAGGAATATTACACACTGATTATGGGACTAGAAGAAATCACTTACCTTTCCAGATTTCAGATCCTTACCTGGAGAATTTCACAAGTATCTGTCCTATTTGACTAAAAATAAAACTGAAAAATGTTCTATAAAATAAGCACTATATAAATATAAGGTATTTACATATTACTTAACCATAACATAGTTGAAATTGATTATGCTCTATTCATGACCCTGCTTTCTGAAGCTTCAGTTTCATTAAATATCTCAGATAAGGGGAATATTATCATGGACAATTGTGCGTGAGGAAGTATCAACAATTTTAAAAACTGTTCCCTTTGATATTTAAAGGTCTTATTCATTAAATATACATTCTGTTGAGTAACATTAAGAATATCATATGAAACTAAATATGCAGTATGTAATTTAAATATTCTGATAACATGTTATACTATACCTTAAGGGTATTATCTACTTAAACCAATGTAAAGCCAAGAAATGATAACAGTAGCAATGATAATCATAATTATAACTGGAAACATTTGAACTCTTATTAAATTTCTGGCACTGTTGTTCTTAGTGCTTTGCATATATTTCTTTTCAATTAATCTTAACAGTAACTGTTTATGCAACAGTTATCACCATTTTATGGAAGAGTTAAGAGAGAAGCAAAATATATTGTTACAAACACAGGAAGTTCAGTTTCTAAATCAGAACTAAAAAGTAAAACAGGCTAGGAATGACGAAGATTGGAATAAATTATGGATTTAATTTAGTTTAAATTTAATATATAAGTTACTGTATGATTAATAAGAATCAATAAAATATGTTTGTATTTAACTTCCACAATGAAAATGTGATTTTGGAATAATCTATCATTTAGAAAAAGCAGGAAGGAACAATCAAAAAATAGTTACAATTAAAACTGAATGTCAATAGATTTTCTAAATATATTAAAAACTTTCAGCACCTAAAACATTGTTATAACAGTAATAAAAATAAATACAGCAGCTAACATTTATACAGTGCTAAACATGTGGCATGTACTATTTTCATTCAGTAAGTTAATTCATTTAACTCTTAACAACCAGATTGACTAAATGATATGGAAAATAAGGAAGACATGAAGTAACTTGTCCAAGTTCACACAGCTAGCAAGTAGTGGAAAAGGACTCCAATCTAGGCAGTATGGTCTGGTTTCAGAGTCTCTGTTCCTCACTAATAAGCTATGTGAAAACTCAAAGATTTGTACACAAAATTGCCCCCCCCAATTCTCCTCACTTAATGAAGTCACAATCACAATCATTTAACCCACAACATTTCTATAGGATTCCAAATATGTGATTTTGTTTCCCTGGCAAGCAAACTCTTGTCTAGCAACAAAAAGTGCATTACTGATGTAAATTTAAAATAAGACCAAATAAACAATTTGTATGACATCAAGAAGCAGGCAGTTAATGTGAGCATTTTAGAGAAATTTTTTGTTTCAGTCTTTCTCTGAACATTTTATAAAATGCTTATTACTGTGCAGAAATTTTAAATGAGACTATCATGTAGTACATCACATGATATGTACAAATATAAATACTTAATGACTTTAACAGAAGTTTTCATTAAAGGATTCTCTTAGAGTCAGTTTAGGCATATATAATGTTCTGAATTATTCAGCCAATAACACAATAAACTTAAATTTGAAAGATGAGTAATATAATGTAAATTAAACCTACACATCATGCCAAGATTTATTCTGGTGTATACTATAACTAGTGTTTAACTAGTAACACCAATAAGCCATTTCAAACGCAAAGTACTGTGGTCCTAAGGAAAATCCTTAGTTAAGTAATGGTAGCTTATGTAGTTTTATACAGATTATGTATCAGTGCAAATTCATTACTAACCACAAAATAAAATGCTAAAATTCATCTGAAAGATCATTAGTAATGTATCTTCAAAAAAGATGGCCTGTTAACGTAACAGTCATCCACCACTAGAAGCCATATTTCAAAGAAAAACACTGAACAATCATTATTTCACCACTGCTGTATGTACATCAGAGAAATGTCAGATGAATGAATGTCATGTTAAAGAGAAAGGATGCAGTTCTTCGTCCTTTGACAAAGTCAGCCACATAGACTAATTTAGTTAAATTTATATTTAAATAGATACTTAAGTTTTTAAGAAAACAGGTTTCTAAGTCTTTAGAAAGTATGATGACTTTATATAAAACCACAATGCCTTGTATAAAATTCTAAAATCCAGAGTATGAAACACATTTAAGTTTTTCTACTTGGTGTGAACATTCATTTTAGTGCAGATATATTAATGTGCTTTGATTACAGGATTACTCACATCCAGTTGCGGGTGTTATAAATACACTCCACTACTTCTTTTAAATCCAAAAAAAAATATGGCCCCAAAGATTTTGAAAATGAGACTATGTACATACATTCCAAATTAAGATGTTACCTGATATTCAGAATCCAGTCTAAATGAAGAGTCTCTTGAGTGACAGGTATCATTCAAACTACTTCCTCTGCTTCCAGACATCATCCTTGCACTTAAAGAGCTGGAGGGCTGAACAGAAATTCTTCTTGGAATCCTTGAAGATTTAGATTCCATTCTTAAGGTTTCCTATGAAATGCAGACTTCGATTAAGTGCCTTTGGGAAAACATGCTATCCTCTTGATTCTTAATCCTTAGTCCAACTCAAAGCAAGAACCAACCATGCAAATGAACTATATCTCACATTACAAACTATGAGACTATTATCACTCCTCTTCTACAAAACAGAGGTCTGAAGTCCATCAGAAGTTCCCCACTGTCCATAAAATTAAGCAAACATGATAAAAGTAGGGTGAGTCACAGAGGTTTGTTGTTTCCAAAGCCTGGGCTCTTCCTTCCTCAATTTTCTCTCTCTGTATGAAGTCCAACACGAATTTGTCTTTGACTATTACATCTTGCTATTCTTATCTAGTGTGCAATACAAATACCATATGCATTAGCTGTTTTGTACTATGTTCATATTCCTTCACATAGTATGCTCTCACAGGCCTGTTTGTATGTCCCCAGAAAGTCTAAACATTCCCCTTTCATCTTCTGGTCATGGTCTTAAAACAAACATTTTCTTGTGTGTTTCCACTGTACATCCTTTTATTAAGACCTCATAATAACTTATGCTGTAATCTGTTTTCCTATCTGCCCTTCTCAAAAGTGAGAATAAGTTTTCCTCAGTAAACATTCCTCAACCACTGCCACACCTGATTTTTAAATCCCCCACATTTTTAAAGTTCAAATTACGCCACTTCGCTTCTACAAGAGAACTACATTAGTACCTGTTTTCACTAACCAAAAGAAATCCAAAGAGGATTTTTGCTTTTACAGAAAGAGGCATAAACAAAAATAGAGTTCAGCGTTTGTTTTGCAGCAAGCCATCAGAGGTAGCATGCACAGCAAACAAGTGGCACCACCAAGCTTCTTCTCTGGGAACTACATTCAGCATCTCAGCATTAAGCCACTGTAACTTTGAACTGTGCCTGAGCACCTGTGATTTCTCTCAATTTATTTCGTGCATCCCCTTAGCAAGATATGTCCTAAGGTATCAGAAAAGCCTGAGGGATTATTTTTTGGGTCAGGACACACTAAATAATTTTTCCATATAAATTAATAGCAATTACTTCTTTGTTTTATGCCATTTTGGCTTATGCAAGATTTCACAGGAATGCTCTACTCTGGGATAGCAGGGACACCCATATATATAAAATGGAATCAGTATCTACATTTATGTCTGGTTTCATTTGCTCAATATCGTATCTGTGACATTCATTCACATTGCATACAGCTATAGTGAGTTCATTCTAACTGGTTTATGTTATCTTCAATTAGATCAACACACAATTTATTTGCCCATTCTACTAGGGATGGAGACTGGACTATTACCAGTTTTAGGCTATTACAAATAGTGCTATTATAAAGGCATTATCTTTATAAATTAAAAAAAAAGAACTTAAAAAATTTTCTTAGGAAAGGATTTTTTAATGGGGCCTCTAGATAACAGATACCATTGGTCTTGATTAGAAAGAAGGGAAAAAGAAAATAGCAAATAAAAAGTAAAGAAGTCACAATTATCTCTTCAACTTCTTCCAGTTACCCACATTCAAGGCCAGAATATTCTGGCAGTCAACTGAAATTAAGGCAAGTACAAACAGACGTACTTCACTTACACGATTCAAAGTTTGGATAAGGTGTATTTATTTTATTAAACCATTCAAATGTAAACATTTAAGGTAAAAATACCTAATTCATTTTCACCACATGATGTTAATTTATCAATTGTGGCTCAATCTTATCTTTCCACCTTAAAAGTTACAAAAGAGGTTTTTTTTTTTAATAGTATTTGTCTTAAAAACATGGTGTTAGGCAATGACAGAAAAGAGGTTGAAGAGAGTAAAAACACTGCAACAAAATATATGGTCTATACTACAGTGGGAGATATGCAACAAACATGAAAAAGACGTAACAAGCCCAGTATCAGTTAAAATTCTTCAATTAGCTAATGAGAATATCCTGCTAATGAGAAGCCAACAGTAAAAGTTTTACTATGGGATATGTTTAAATCAAAGAAAGTGTATGTAATTTTTTAAAAAGATCAGTTTTGAACTTCCAATTAAAACACGATAGGTTATCCTTACACATCTATTTTGGCCTGTTTCCAAAACCCTTGTAAGGTGACAGTAAATTAATACAAAAGCTTTAACTATGAAAAGAACAGGAATGGGTAGCGGGAGTACAGGAAGCAAGGGATTTCATTGTGGATTAGAAAATCCAGAGGAGGAGGAGAGGTACAGCAATAAAGCAGAGGATGAAACTACATCCTGGATACTTAGATCTAGGAACTGGAAGCGAAGCACTTACTTTAGCACACTAGAAAGAATCAAGACCTGGAGGTACAAGGTAGCATAAAAAGGGATGATGAATGGGGTTGAAAAAAAAATCTATACTTGTAGCAGTAAAACCCCAAATTCTTCCTCTAGCTTCATTCTTCCAAAGATAGGGTATTTATCCTCTGGGAAGTAAGAGTCCCACAGGCATCCCCTCCCCCACCCCCAGCCAAATACACAACCATCTGTGAGGGGGAATTAAAAAAAAATATCTATATACTCACCGTTGAGACCCAAGTACTCTTTCCTGGTCCTTCTACAAGGCTAGCAGGGGGACTCGGGCACTTTCCCTTGGACCACCAGACAAAACAACAAGAGGTAAGATTTCTGGGTACTGACTTTTGGAATGCTCCTTTACAGAACTATCTTGCCACCTGACTGTCCTACCCTACAGCAAAGTCCATTAGTCACCAAGAGCTTCTAGTCAGCTTCTTCAGTGATTCCTTCTAATAGACAAAACATCAAGGATCACCAGATATGCTGGGAAGGCCTCCAAATGAAAGACATACCAAAAGAATCAACAAAAAGGAACTTAGAAGAAAATATGAAAAAGGAGGCAATTTCTATTCTCAAAGGGATCAAGACATTCATTCATATATAAAACAGTACGCTTGGGAAAGCAATCAGAATACAGCAAAGAGCTTGTGGAAACTTAAAATGTGATACACTTTTAAAAAATGTTATACACTGAAATAAATTCAATATGAAGATTGGGAGTAAACTGAGAAAACCTTCCAGAAGTAGAACATGTAACCTGAAAAAGGAGAATGCCCTGGGGAATTATTTGACTGTACTATGGTTATAGAGAGAAGAGAATTGAGAAAAAAATATCAAAGAAATAAAATAACCTTTCTACAACTGAAGGATACAAACCTTCACACTGAAAGGGTTCAGGAATACTCAGCAAGATCAAAGATCAACACTAATAACCACAATTTATCATATTGAAATTTCAGAATACCACAAATAAAGATCTGTAAGTTACATGAGTGGAAAAGCAGGTTACATACAAAAGAAAACGAATGAGAATAGCTTCTTTACTGCAACTTTAAAAACTCTTTAAGACAATGAAGATTTGTAATTCAGAGGAAAGTGTTTAGTCTTGAATTCTAATCTAGCAATTACATGTGAACTGGAGAACAGGACACATTTTCAGGAATGCAAGATATTAAAATGAAAACAAAAACAAAACAAAACATAGGAAGCTAAATGAAAAGCATGTCCTAGAAAAACAGGAGTGTAAAGAATGAGCTAGACATGGAACCCAGGAAACACAACAGGAAAGCCCAGAGACAGAACCCTGTGAACATCTACAAAGATATGTAGAAAGCATAGAGCATAAAGAACAACTCTAATCTAGATTGGAGGAGGGCCACAGATAATGAAAGCAAAGTTCTAAGGAAAAAAAAAAAAAAAAGGCATCATATAGAAACTATTTTGGCATGTAGCAGACATGATGATACAACTGGAGAAAAATGCCGAGAATACAGAACAAATGACAATTTAATAAACTAATTTTCTAACTTGGGAAAGCTGAACTTGTGTTCAAAAAATTAGTTACTGATGTGTTCAGAAAAACTCTTCAATATTTGCACAGTTATTAATAATGTAAAAAGACCACTGAATCAATCATTTTGCTATAAACATGCTATGGGCTGAAGTTGGGTAGGGGAAGTTGGGACAACAGTGAATCCAGAAAACACAATATCCAAAAATCATGAAATAACAGTATAAACACATCATTTGGAAACATGAACAGATAAAAAAGTTGAGGGTTGCTGCCTTTGGAAAGTGGGACTGGGAATGAAGTAAAGGGTGAGGGGTAAAGGACTGCTGTTTTCCTTTTAAAGAGGATGACCATTTTTCTTGGCTTGCCCTGAACAGTCCCAGTTTATGGGCAATAAAGTCCTAATTTGTGCTCATTATCCCAGGACAATTATTAATAGTACTGACGTCTACTAAAAGTGGCCTGGTTCGGATGATAAAGCATACAGTCGACTAACAAAAATCTTCTGTATCTTCAGCTTTTTATAAACTATATACCTACTTCCATACAAAATATTTTTATTAAAAAGGAGGGGTTATGAACTGGACATTTAAAGAAGGCAATATATTAGTAGGAAGTATATTAATGGTTAAACACTGACATGCAAAATACTATAAATGACTTAACAGGTAGCATTTGCTATTTATCAAGGAGGCTATGAGAATATAAAACAAAGGACTGTATCTGTGATGAGGATTTTAAACAGGGAGACACAATGCTTTTTAAGAGAAACAGGTCTATAGGTGGTTCTTTAATAATTATAGTGTATTTTAATCATTCCTCACGTAGTTTACTTTGACTTTATTTATACCCAAGTCTTGCTTGCAGCATGAAACTAACCTAGGAGGAAATCTGCTCAAAACACCCTTCTGGGAGAAGGCAAAGAAAAGAGGCAGAGTCCTATGAGAGAGAGAATTTATACTGTATGAACTATTTTCAGCAACTCTTCTACATAAATTGATTAAATTTTGACAGTGTAGGTGTTACCAGAAACTTACATAAGTTGGTTGCATAAGTTGTAGGTCAAAAGAAATTAAAAAATAGTTTTTAAAAAAGTGCAGTCCTTGAAAAACTACCAGACCACTTACAAGGTACTATGAGGTACTTTTCACATTCATTTATTCATTGAACAGATAGTTTTTTAGATG